AAAAACTGACGGCGTAAATATGCTTCTGTCATGGCAAGCTCCGTCCAATGGACGCGCGGGGCGCCCACTCTGCGCTGGGGGAATTGTATATAGTTGTGGGCTGTGTTGAAACAGAAATGGATTTCAAGCTGGGCATCATGTCGAAGGAGATGGCCTAGATAGGCCAATCTAGCAGACTGGATATGCTGGGAGGGTGGCTGCAGCTTGAGCATGTGCTCATATGCCAGCTTAAGCAGGTATTCGTTGGAGCATTGTGCATCCGTAGGTGTGAGGACACGATGATAGAACGAACTTTTAATGGAGAAAATTTTGCGTAGGGCTTTGTAGTGAATTGTATTAAGACGTTGAAGCTGTGATTTTGAGTACGTTTGAGATTCTGATCCATAAAGAAGTATAGCTAAGGTGATCTGGGCGTGTACCAAGAGCTTACGTCTGTACGAGATATGAGAATGTCTGTAAAAGGCGTCGAGCGACTTTAAGCAGCGTATCGCTTGGGAGTATCTGTGTTGGACATCCTTGTCGGCCGAGCCATTGGCTCGAAGGAAGGCCCCCAAATATTGTGCTGCGTCTGTGGGTTCAATTTCCGTGGTCGTTGGGGGAATGTCTCCTAAGACAGGGGAGCAGCTGGGACATCGACAAGGAAATATTGGATTATCTATAAGAGCGACGGCTCCTTGTGGGTTTATGGAAAGGAGCTGACATTTTTCCGGGTTCAGGTGTAGTCCTCGCTGAAGGGCAAGGTATTGTAATATGTGAAGGAGGCGATTTAGTGCCTGGGCTGTTCTGGCAAGAAGGAGCGTATCATCAGCATACTCTAAATCCGTGATAGGCTTGTCATGTGATAAAACTGAAGGAAGAGACTGGTAAAGAGAACGAAAATGGGAGTAGAGATCCTCAAATAAAATAGACAACACAATCACAAACAAATATGGTGAAAGTGGGCATCCCTGACGGATGCCGCGCTTAAAAGGATAAGAGGCAGAAGTGTTGGGACCATCTCGGACCCTGAAGGTTGCATTGGCGTATATAGCCATAATGCAACAAATATAATGATGAGGGAGGCCGATGCGTTGAAGAGAAATTCGGAGCGCCTCGTGGCTAACCGAGTCGAAAGCCTGCGCCCAATCTAAAAATAGGGCGTAAAAGGAGACTCCATGCCTTTCGTGAATCTCTAGGAGACGGCGGATAACAAAAAGAGGTGTGCTAGTGGAGCGGGCGGTGCGGAACCCGAACTGGTAGGGCGAAATGCGGTCATCAATGGCGTCTTTGACGCGCTTATGAAGGAGGGCTGCGTAAATCTTATAGACTGTATTAACAAGAGAGATTGGGCGGTAACTTGATGGAGAACGAGGGTCTTTCTTTTTGCCTTTATAAATCATAACAACAATAGCGGGCGCCCAGTTGGGCGGGGCCGTAGCGTTGGAGAAAATTTGATTATAATGGGCCAATAGTTGTAGGCGAAAGTGGCGCGGCGCGAGCTTCCAGAGCTCAACTGGTATGCCATCCGGTCCTGGAGCCTTTTTGTGCCTCATACGGTGTAGAGCTTCGTCCAGTTCGGATTCGGTAAAAGGTGAGTGGGGCATCTCGACTGTAGGATGTTGAGGGTGTGGGTTCATAGATGGGGTGTCTTTGTGACCCCAGACATCTGTGGAGAGATATTTGGCGAGAGTTTCAGCTTTTTGTGATTTGGAGCAAATTTTGCCGTTGGGCTGAAATACACCCTGCGTTTTGGGGGTGTAGGGCTTTCGGACGAATTTAAGCGTGGCCCATTGTTTGGAGGGCGGCCCCTTACTGTCCTGAAGGAGCTGGTTGCATAAGTGCTGGCGCTTGTCTTTAGATACTTGTCTCCTAACTGCTTTGCGGAGTTTTTGTATAGATTCCGTGTCCGTAGGTGGAGTATTTTCAATTCTCTTAATTAGGGTCTTTGAGGTTGTAGAAAGGTATTCCTTTTGGAAAGTTTCTGGGGTTGGAGGTTGGAGGGTGGCCGCAGCTGCGGTCACCTGCGAGGAGAGTTGTTCTGAAAAGCTGGAGACGCTTGTGGGCGCAGTGGTGCGAAGAGGCACCAAAGGAAGGAGGGGACGCGTGGGGGACGCATGCCGCCCAAGAGTCGAAGATGAAGAGACGCCGCGGAAAGCAAGCTTATCAGCACGCGTGTTTCCGGTGTTGCCGGCGTGACCGCGGACCTTGAGGATCGAGAGGTTGAAAAGTGAGAGGGCACGGGTGAGATAGGAGCGAAGCTGTTGAACTAAGAGGGGATGAGCGTTTGGGATAATGAGGTCATGGCAGAGATTGTAAACTAATTGGGAGTCTGTGAAGAGGTCAATTGGGAGGTTAGAGAATCTACTGGGATGGCGACAGATATAGTCCAAAGCTTCGATTACCGCTTGTATTTCGGCGGTGTTGTTTGATCCAACTGGAGTGAAATTTAACCCTTGGCCGACTGGTCCATATGAGTCGGTCCATTCAAAGTTTTTGAGAAAGGTAAAAGCCCAGCCGGCAGGATTGCCTGGGCCGATGTTGTATTGATCCGGGCAGGAGCCGTCGGTATAAATCTGTATAGCCCCCGGTAGGGGGGTCGTGCGGGGTAACGGGAATGGAGAACCAGGGAATGCATCTACATACTTGCGTCTGTCCTCCTGAGAGGTAGGTAGGGTTTGGCGTGGTCGCGGTGGGCGGGTGACCCGAGCGAATTTATCAAATTGGAGGGTGAAAGTTACCGGGTAGTGGCGATGAAACCACGGTAACTGCCAGGTAACCTGTGAAGAAACCGCCGTTATTTGGTGAAGGGATCGTTCATGGATCAGGACATGGTCGAGGACTGCAAAGTCTTCGATAGAAGGGGAGTATGGCGTGGCGGTGGGAGTGGAATTTATCTCTCGGTAGGTGATAAGTTTGGAGCGGGGGCGTTTAAACTTAGATGAAGCTAGGATAAAATCCTCAGCGATCATAAACTCGACCAGAAAAGCGTAATTGGTAGTTTCATCAAAAGGAGAGTCTGCGGGTAAAACCGCTGGTCCAATATACTCTGAGTAGTCTGTGAGGTCCTCTTGGACGATACGAGCGTTGAAGTCCCCCGCCAGCAGTATGGTGGCCGGTTTTGGTAAGTGTTTTAAGTTTTAAGTATTCCGGGAGGGTCTCCCAGAAAGTTTGCTTTCGTTTGAGGTCTTGCGCGCTATCCTGGAGCATGGAGGGCGCATAGACCGTGAGGATAATAGTAGGGTAGGGCTGTGTGCGCAGCACCAGAGCTGCCAAACGAGAGGAGAATGGAATAAAGTCTTGTAATAAGGGCAATGTGCGGGGCGTGACGTAAAAGCCGACGCCCGCCGCTGGATCGTCCGGCGTGCCCGAAAGGAGAAATTTTCCGCCTTTTGTGAGGATTTCATTGGATGCAGTTGCTTTGGTTTCCTGCAAACATAGAATATCCAGTCCCTTTTTAATGGCAAATTCGGCAAGGGATTGATGTTTGCCCAGGCCAATTAAGGTTTCGATGTTCCAGGTGGCCAGTTGCAGCCGATTTTGTGGCGGGCGCCATGACAGAAGGCGAGAAGGCAAGTCCAACAGCGAGGGTTGGACATAATGGCGAAAGAGAAAAGCGCGCGAACCTATGGTAGGGCGGAAGCGCTTGTCCTGATATGCTCGTCTGAGTTGTTCAGGGCTATTAGTTACCCTTTTCAGGGGCCGCCGGGGGTGGGCTAGGGTAAACTTCCCACCCTCCAGCACAGAGTGAATCCATCGACGATAGTCCTGTCGTGACTGTCGGCGATTGGTATTCCGGAGTTGGTGTCGCCGCTGACGCGCTTCTAGCGAGCGGTGGTTTTCGTGAAAGTGTTTGACGCCTGACGCACTGCGAGATTCGTGGCCACTAGAATCTAAATTGTATCTGTTGTCGAGCCCATGTAGGGCAAAAAAGTTGGTGAGAAGCTGTGGTTTGGAGTCGTGGCCTCCCGGCTTGCCGCTGGCGGCTCTCGCGGTGTGTATGTGGTTTCTTAGATTGTGTGCTTTGTTGCCGTAGAATACCTGATAATGTCTGACCCCTCTTCTATAAAACCAAACTGACAGATGATCCTGACACCAAAGGGCATGATGTACTAGCATACCGTTGCTAAGTTGAACTGCAGGTGTTCGGAATTTGGAGGGGAGGTTTGAAAAAGTTTTATTGTAAAGATCACAATTGCAATGGGGGCAGCTAATGTTCCCGTTTGTGCAACGCTTCGCTCTGTTCCTCTTTTTCCTCGAAAGCTGTATGTTACTGTGGCCACAGGTGGGCCGTGGTTGTTGGGTCTCGGCAGGTCGAGGTGCAAAAGGGATCCCAACAAGGGGAAGCTTTCTAGGCTCTAGCTCGAGGTGGCTTGGCTTAGCAACCCTGAAAGAAAAACCCCTCAGTTTCTGAGAGGGGCTGGCCAAAGCAAAGGGCGGACAAAAGTCCTTTGCGGAGAGGGCCGGGCGTGCTGGTGTGCCCATGGTCCTTCCAGCTAGATTGTGCCCAAAATGGGCGCAGGTGAAAATTATAAGGAAAAGAGGAAGCGGGCTGTGTAGCCCTAAGTTGTTGGAGTGGTGATCTGGCTCTGCTTGAGAGCGGTGTGGGCCTCTGGGGCTTGTGTTGCCCCGTGGGTCCCTAATGTCAATCTGGTGCGGGCTGGCCGCAATAGTGTCATTCCGGGCTCGTTGGGCCGAGCCGTTGTCATTCAGTGGCGGACCGGCCGCCGTAATGTCGTTCTGAGCACTTTGTGCTGAAATATTGTCATTCAGAAGTGGGCTTCCCACTGTAACTAGTCATTCCGGTGCACCCCTGCTGGGGTCCACGTGGGTGAGGATATAGGTTTCGGGTTGGGGTATTGGAACCCTAGGTGGTAGCGGGAGAGGGAGGAATAAATAAGATCGAAGAAAAAGAGAAACAGAGAGTAAAAGGAGAAGCTTGCTATCATTCGTGCCGCTGTGTTAGCGGTCCAGGAGAGAAACAGAAAAAGTGGAAAACAGAACAGCAGAGAAAAAAGTGGTAGTCAGTACACAGAAACCTGTACTACCCAAGGCAGCCGCGTATCCTTATGTTGCTGGAGGAAGATAGCCCAGGCACAGCGCCAAACTAGCCAATGGGAGCCGCTTTCGGCCAAGATCAGGGTCAAGGCCTCCATGATATTCCCTTTATTCACATGGCCGCGGGCCTTGATGTATCGGACCTCTTCCTTGTAAAGGTTAAGGAGGGGGAGCATATACTCAAAGAGGTGCACAAGGCCGTTGTTGGGAGCTTGGAGCTGGGTGGTTTGAGGATTCTTGGCAACCCCGTAGATCACGGAGAGCTGCCAGTAAACCGCGTCAAAAAATAAAGAGCCGAAGCCGCCTGCGATGGCGGCCCCTTTGTTGGTATAGGGCTGCTCTCCCCTGATTAGAGAGAGGATCTGTGGATCTCCGTCCAAGAGGGCTGCCGCCTCTTCTGCGAGGACCTGAAAGAGGTCCGTGGTGACCTTAGCAAAGTCGGGTTGGAGCATCCAATCAAAGATTTCCTTAGTCCATTTGAGGGCTGGGGCGGGGGAACTACAGTAATGGCTGGCATGTTCATATGCTAAAGCAAAGGAGCTCGCTATGAGCTCAGGCCAGGGCAGGAGCGGGCTGTGGGCCACATCAAAAGAGGCGGCCCATTTCTCAAGTTCGAACTGCTTAGAGAGGTGCACCCCAGAGGTGCGCCAAATGCTTCGGAGAAAATCTGAGAACCAGCTGACAATGTAGAAAGTCTGCTGCAGCACTGGGTCCTCCAGGGGACCATAGCAGTTAACGATATCCTCAGTTTCCATGTCCCAGTTGGGGACCGTCCAGGGGAGCTTGGTGGGCCTAGGGAGAGGCAAAAGGGATTTAGTGTCTGATTGGGCAAGGCGAGTCAACCAGGCCGCCGCCCATTGTTGTGGGGAGTAATCTTCCATTTTGTTATTCTTAAGGAGCGCGCGCATAGCTTCAACAAAATTACTGGTGGTGGAGAGAGTGGGGTCGACAACCTCCATTTCATAGAGAATGCGGTCGAGCTGCAGGAGTTCACACTTCCTAAAAATATGGAGGGAAGTCCAACCGGTCTGGATCTGCTCTGAGGACCAGTATCTGCGCGCCTCTGCGCAGAGAGGGCAGTCCTCAGCTGTGCCAAGGAGCTGGCCGCAAATGTGGCCTGCCGCGTTGGTGGCCGGGCAGATATAGGCCTTCACTGGCATGTCGCCTTTCTGGGAGAAGCCCGGGGGCGGGTCGTGCTGGGAGCAATCGGGACAGGAGAGGTTGTAACCTAGAGCACATGTGCATGCTAGACAAATCTGGACTTGCTGGACTACTGAGGGCTTTTGCTTGCCACCCTTTTTTCCAGAGTCTTTGCTATTCTTACCTTTACCGGCAGGAGATTGGTTACGGTTTTTGGAGCCTTGCTTGGGGGTCTGATTGGAGCCCCAGGCTGAGTTGGAGCCGGAGCCGGAACCCCAACCCCGGTTGCCTTTGGTTTTCCATCCGGAGCCCCAGTCATCATAATCTTCATCATCTTTTTTCCACCAGTCGGTTCGGGAGTCATGGTCTCTCTCCTTCCAGGAGCCTTTTCCGCTGGGTTTTCCTTTTGGGGTTCGGGTGCGGTCTTTACCTTCTTTGGAGCCTTTGGAGCCTGAACCTTTGTTCCAGCTACCTTTTCCGGAGCTCTTGCCCTTAGATCCCTTGCTCTTGGCAGCACCCTTTCCGAAATCCTCCGAACTAACCCCGTAATCCTGAAAAGCTTGCTGGGTGAGGGAAAGGAGCCCGCCTGCACCTTGAAAGGGGAGCATCGGGTGGCTCTCCAAAAGCTTTGCCAGCTCATTGCCCATCTTCACCGGGAAGATGGGGTACGGGAAACTACTGTGGTGAAACGCTACGTTGCCAACATCGAAGGCCTTGTCGTATGAAGATCGGGAGGTAGTGGTCCTGTCGATCACGGCCCGGCGAAGGGCCTGAATCAAGTTCATAGTCTGTCGCATGCGCTGAGAAAAAGCTGTGTGCCAGCGGTCCAGAATATTGTCAAAATGCTTCTCGCACAGAAAAAGGAGGCAGCAGTATCTCCGAGGAAATCTGGCGTCCAAAACATACGCCACCTGTGCCAGCAAGGGCTGCTCATCGGCCTGTTTCGAGGCCCATATCTGCAAAGTCTGGCGCCAGACCTGCAGGTCCGGCTCATCCTCCAGTTCTCCCAGAATATCCAATAAGGCGTGGAAGGGCTGCATGGAGATGCGGTCGTCAGTGGGTACTTCTTGCTCCGCGCGGAGCCTTGTGTCAGATTGGTCCGGGACCTTCCAATACTTCTTCGAGTTGCGCATATAAGCCAGAAACTTTTGCGCCTTGAGCTCGCTGAGAAACTCAATGCGGACCACCGCCGCTGAAGAGGAAACCAGGTGATTGTGGAGGGCGGTCACATCATCCTCCGTAAGTTCCGCGCCCTGCAGAAAATGATAGATATTATTGTCCAGAGTGCGCTTGCTTGTAAAAGGGGGCAGCTCATGCAGTAAAACCGTCTTGTTGGCCCGGCTTTTCTCCAGGCTCTGGAGCTGGGCCGCAACCCGCTCGTTCGTCATCTGTTGCTGGGCCGTCTCGGCCAGCACCTGGGTGTAAAAAATCCCACATTGTTCAAAGAGCTTCGTCATGTTCGGGAGCACGCTCGCAGTGTGGTATTTCATCATTGCCTCGTTCATTCGAGGGTCCAGTCCCTCCAGGTTGGCCTCAGTAGAGGAGGCCGCAAAATCTCTTTTGTGATCGTCTGCCGCCTTCTCGGTGAAGCGGCCGGCTGCTGGGTCGTAGGCTTTCTCATAGCCTCTGCGGTGGACAGAGATAAAATCCTCTCGGGCCTGTTCGTTCAGGCGCAGCTTGTCGCGAAGCGACGGTTCCAGTTCTTCCCAGTGGAGGTCCAGCTCCGTGAGCTGTAGCTTTTATTTCCTTCTGATTCCTGTCGCCCTAAGTTATAAGGGCATTCACAATATATAGGCCATTATGTGCCTTCACATTAAGAAATATAATATAAAAGAAAATTCGCGTGACATCCGAAGCCTTCGTTTTGCAATGGGACCTGCGACAAAGTCTGAGTCGTAAGAAGAAGCACCGATGGTCACTGAGCTCACTGCTCGAACACATCGGGCCCTCCACACCCCACGCACAGGCCCTAAGGTGTCAAGGCAGTGAGCCGCACACGAAGAGACGAATCAAGATTGCTGTAATCCTTCCGAGATGGACCATCAGCAGGATTACTTTGGGATGTCACCCACTCACACCAAATGTTGATATCGTTCTCTTCCTCGAAGCAGACAAGCTTCTGAAGTATGCAAGCTGCAATGCCTTCTGCGCGGCCACTTATCAAGCATGACAAAGCTGACTCGTTGTCCACAAACAGCACTAGGTCAATGTTCGACTTGCCTTTGAGCAAGTCCACGACACCTTGCACTGCTGCGAAGATCTCCAATTCATAAATCAAACCCTCCTTAGCATCAGAGCCGAAGGGGACAAGGTCACAAGGATCAATCCACTCAGCAAACCACTTGAGAGGCTTGGCAGCTGAGTCGTAAAGGATCCCACCAAGTCCTGAACCTTCGCTTCCAAAGGAGGCGTCAGTGAAGAGGGTCAGCTTTTCCCTTTTGCAAGCACTGACACGCCTTGGCTCACCATTCACGATGTGATCACGGAAGAACAGAAGCGCGTGCAGCAGCTCACCAGTTATTTTGACATTCTTCTTACAAGAGCAGGCTTTGGACAGGACAGAGAAGACCTGCCGGGCACGCCTGCCAAAGACCTGATTGTCAGCAAACAAGAGTCTGCCACGAAGCACTGTCAGCTCATGACTCGATGCAGAGCCCCTTGATACCAACAAGTCAAGAAGATTGCTCAAATCGCGTATCCTGTGCTCCGTATTCGAAACTACGACTAGACCAGCCCGAACGTCAGCAAACGAGATGGAAACCCCTAGCACTCGAGCCAGGCAGTTAAATCCCGAGTCCTTTTCGGACGACGTAGACCAGCCAAGCAAGTCAAAGAAACCCCGTTGAATCAAATGCACATGCTCTGCCTCCGACTGCGCTGCCACCAAGAAAAAGTCGTCAAAGTAGCAGCTCCAGTGGAGCTGCAACATGACAACCCCTATCCAAAACAAAGCAAGCGAGCATCTACAAAATCCGTTAACTGCAGCACGGGCCCCGAAGGGCAGCACACGTGTGCGGTATATGGAAGGCTGATTGCACTCGGGGTTATGCACACACAAGAAGCAATCGTTCAGCGATTCGAGCGAAACCGGAAGTTGCTTATAGGCTTTTCTAAGGTCCACTGTGCAAGCCACCAGCTCCTCAGGCTCAGCCTGCTCAGGCCTCGAGGTGATGCGCCGGCAAATCCCAGCAACAATGGTGTCCACACCATGAGGCGAAATGGTTTCCACGCTGGCATTAGTGAGATTCACTTGGCTCTCGGTATAGTCATCAATCGGCCTCGTTTTATCAAGAACCGAGCCATCAGCCTGTGTGCTTGTTTGCCGAATGCCAAACCTGCGAGTGAGCACAGCACCATCTGGCAAAGGAAAGTCGTGTGGCCCATCAAGCCATCCCCTTTCTTTCTCATCACAGGTGAGCGCGAAAACCTCTTCGGCAACTTGTTTGTCCTTGGAAGATCGGCAGGCTCCCAAGATTGCCTTATTGATCGATGATGCATTGTCACGGACTTCCTTTGGCGTCAAAGTTGCAAAAGTGTTTTTCCTAGGCATGGCACCAGAAGTGGGCAATGGACCCATAATGTCAAAGCCTCTCTTCACCTGACTAGGCAGCCCACTGTCAACATGCCCACTTTCATCAAGCATTTCTTTGAACAGCCTAAGGTCCTTGCCTTTTAAGACCTCCGCACAGTGACCCACAGGAGGATCTGGATCAACTTGCTCTGACAACTCTTTTGCCCTAGCCACCCAGCGCCGAAGTGAAGCAGTCCTTTCCCGACCAAGACTCTCGTAACTTTCTGAAGCACACTTGCTGACACACTTCGCAAGTACATCAGGGATGCCACTGTAAAGGTGCTTGGGATGCTCAGCGAAGCATGCTTGCTGCACAAAGTCTTCACAAGACTTTGGCACGGAGAAAGTCATTTCCCGAATCGAAGGAAGGTCAGCCCCACCCCCGAAGAGCACTGACCGAAGGCACTTGCTTCCAGCAGGCAGGCCATGCATGGGCGGCAGGACGACAAGCTCTGAAGACAACGGCGTAAATGACTTTAAGACACCAGTGGGTGGCATGACAGCACCGGGTCCTCGAAGCACAACAGTGCCAGCAACAGGCGGCACAATCGGCGGGATGCGTTTTCCTTTCGGCTGCTTGGCAGCAGCAACCTGAGCAGCACGGTGCATGGACACATCAGTCACAGTGGAGGGCACACACCCAAAGGCCTTGAGGCGCTCAAGCAATGCTCTAGCAAATCCATCGCATAGGTCAGGTGGATACACGTGCAAGGCACCCGACTGCCAGGGAGCATGAGAGTGCGAATCATCACAAGCAATTCCTAACCTACGAAGCTCAGGGTAGTTGTGGAAGAAAGTTGAGTGCTTAGCACAAGGATCCCCGAACATGCACTGGTGCAATGAGGTCTTGAGAAAGCCTAAGGCGAGGCAGGTTTTGCCAAGGGGGCCCTGCCACGCGGAGCTTGCAGCCGGGTTTTCAACTGACACGAGAATGCCACGGCCGTGGCACCACTTCAGGATCCGGGCCGACAGCTCACAAAGTTGTGCATCACTCGCAGGCGGCGAGATGTGCACACCACAAACGTTGCCGCGATTGAGAGCATCCCACAGGAGCTCATGCTGTTCTTCATTTTTAAGGTCAAGCGGGAGAACAGGACACCGAGTGGCACCAGTGACACGGGAGGCGATGCCAAGGCACTGTCCAACTCCTTTACGTTTAACTGCAGCGGCCAGGTGACTCGCACCACAGAAGATCTGAAGGAACAGCATCGACTGAAGGCTATGACCCTGAAGTCTCTGTTCTGCACCAGCAGGTAGGCACTTGCTGCTGATTGGCGGCGCCACAACAGGTGGAGTATCAGTTGAGCAGACAGCATCCAGATTGGGAGCAAAACCCTGCTCCCGTAAAGTTGACAGATCATCTGGGCTCAACATGCTGGCATTGCGCACCGAAAAGGCAACAAGGACGACACGATCACCCTGCCAAGCAGCAGTGGCATGTCGAAGGCGATAAGCATCGAAAATGGCATGCGTGTTAGCCACCTCCAGCGCAACAGCGGGAAGCTTGCCCGAAGAGGTTTCAATCACACGTGGGCCTCCAGAGCTTTCAACTAAGACTTGCCCATCTTGAAAATTGCTCAGGCCCGCAACAAGATTTGGCATGGGAGCGTTGTTTGCATCAACGTGCGGACTCGTCTTGACATTGAAGAAAATGTTGATTGTGGAAAAATGAAAATCAGGAGAGATTGCCTTCACAAAACTAGCTAGCACAGAGCACGCCAAGGGAAAACGTTTGGTATTGGCCCGGAGGCCCAGCAAGGGTCCCTGACAATACATGCCACAAGCGAAAGCGCAACCCGTACCCTCACCACGAGAGGGTTTATCCTTCGGAAGGAGGTTGAACAGGTGCAGCACCTCACTGCGGGCGGGCGCTCGTGCTAGCTTCAGAATCTGACCAGCATACACCTCGGCAGGGTGAATGGTCTCAGCCGGAGGTGACGAAGCCGGTTCAAGAGGCAAAACTGAATCCATGAACTTGCAAGTCAATCGCTTGGCACAGTGGTTATGACTAATTAGGGCATCCTGCTGGTTCGAATGCAGGGCACCGGCGGGTAAGGGATTAGGGTCGCATGCAGAGTCAAGTGAAGCTTCCAAAGCCTCCCCAGTCTGACAGACCTTCACACGCTTGGCTGCACTTGGTGTCGGCGCAGCGGGCGGATCCACAACAGGTTGACCTGAAAAATCCGCCTCAGGTAATGGCAACCGTCACTCTTTGCATTCTTGCAGTGAATGATTTTTGCCACAGCGCATACAAGCATGGATTCCACGACGGCAGGATTTGCCAGCCTTTGCGAACTTGCAGCCTTTCTTGCAATTGAAGGGCCAGCAGAACTTTTCACCTGCCTCGGTTGCCATCCGCAATCCAGCAATGTTCTTAAGCTCGTCCGGAAGCTCTGCTTTCTGGACCTTGTTGCCAGAATCTTGCTTGTTGGGACTGTTAGGCTTTCTCTTCTTATCCGGATCACCATGTGGAAGCTTTGGTGGCTTATCCGGCTTATCGGGCTTGACCTCAGAGCTCTTGAGGGGTAAGAGATGGAACAACACATGAGGGTCGCTCGTCAACTTCCCTAGGGCATCATCGAGGGGCAAATTGCCCGACGAATCTCTCCGAAGTGACTTCACCTGCTCCGACATACGAACCCAACCAGCTCTGTCGGTTCGGAGTACTTGTTCAATCGATGGGCGTGACCAGCCCGGCGGGGCCTGCTGCTGCATCCTGTCTAAAAGAAAGGAGTGCCAGGCATGCATCGCCTCGTAAGTGCATGCCCCCATGAGATCGGAAGCAAGGGCCCGTCGCTGTAGGGCTTGCGACAGTGCCAATGGATCTTGTATCGCGCACTTGTGTTTATCTGCCCTGTCACGCACAGAAATGCGGTTGTGATCCAAAATGAGCTCTTTGCCAGGGCGCTCACGTGCCACCTCAGCTGCTCTCGTGTCGAACCGGTGCGGTTCCAAGTACATAGGGCTATCCTTCTCGATCATCGCCCCCACATAGTCGTAAGAAGCATACGAGCACTCGAGCTGCCCAACCAAGGTAAGACCCTTCATTTTGGCCTTCTGCTGGAGTATCCGAGTGGTCCTCTCAGCTGGTGCCAATTCGATCCTCTTTTCATTTCCTTCAACCGAAGCTTTGACGTGAGCCAAGCAAAGCGTCTGACATTCAAACATCAAGTGTCTGATTGCTGCCACAACTCCAACACTCACCGACTCAGGATCCAGCGGTCGGAGAAGGGACCTCAGTTGTTCCTCAGAAGGCTGAACACCTGGAGCACTGGTCGAGAAAGCTAGGAGCGAGATCGTCTTGATCCCCGCAGTCTTCAGCCGACCCAGCTCCTCATCCGGTAGCCCACACTCACGAGCTCGCTCATCGAACGCAGCCTCACTCTTCAGAAGGGTCGCCATTGCCAGAATCTGCAGAAGTCTACCTCACCAAACTAAGCATGCACCAAGCACTGCAGTTGCAATGACACCTGACCATGCAAAATTGAGATACACTGATGGAGCAGCGATCCAAAAGCATCGAGGGAGAACATGCAGCACATTGCGATATGCCGCAAGTTGCATCCAACCTCTCTCTAGCCAGTCGCACATCACGCAGGGCTAAGAGCATCTTGCCCATGCAGCGATTTTTGCACTCCTGTAAGCTGAGGACGATCTCGTCTAGCCCAGGGGGCATGGCAAAATGTTTGCGACGAGTGGCAGGTCAAGCCTCACGGTGAGCGCTCGGGCTGCCCGCACAGGAGTGCTGGTCACGCCCATGTTGCTCTGAAGGCTGCCACACTCGCCAGGTTTAGAAATAAGTGCTCCTGCCATGCCAGGAAATCATCCCAGGCGACAAAGAGACACCGATCAGTCCCTTCGCAGGGTTTCTAGGTCACGCCTTGGTTTCAATGCATCGCCGAGCTGCCCGTGCCCAAGGGCACTGGTCACGCTGTGGACACACCAAAGCTGCCATGATCAACTTTAGGACGACCCCTCCACCCGGGCCCTTTTGGTAGCCACTCCAAGGGCATGGTTAAGGGCCCCCAAATCACGCAGTGATTTACCTCTGTAACACTGCTTGCACTCAAGAGAGGCAATGCTCACACTTCCACAAACCGGTTTAAAAATCGCCTGATTCCACTCGCGGCCACACACAAAGCGGCCCGATGAGGCTCCGGCGGGAAGCAAATGCACAGTCCTGGTAGTTTTATGCCTGTACATGAGGCACTCATTGAGCTTCTTATGCTCGAGTTCGTCAGCTCTCTCTCCTGAAGCTTGAACCCTTTCATCGACAGACTCAGAGGACGACGATTCGCTGCTGGAAGAGCTCTCACTACCTCCAGGCTCGACGTCGCAACCCTCAGCACCTGTCTCCAAGTCCGGAACATCCTCCGGCTGGTGCGATTGATCCTCTGCTGCTGCCTCGGCATACCAGTCCCGCTCACCCAACCACTCAGCATCGGCCTCGCTTCCAAGATCTGGACCAGACTGATCTGGGAAACCAGGCAACGGAAAGGGAGTGAAGGAATCATCAAGCTGAGGAGGCGGGGAAGGCGGGAATGCAAACGTCGGCTCAGGGTCGCCCTCAGCAGGAGAGGGGATTGCACTTGCCAAGTCTCCTACACCTGACATAAAACCCTCCAACTGAACATCTGGGACAACAGGCTCCTCAGGCGCAAAACGCCCGGACCTCGTGGAATCAGGAAGGAACACTCCTCGGCGCACATCACCTATGAGGGCCTCGAACTTTCTGACCGGAGCCGCCTGCGTGTCCCGTGCATAGGTCAGGGCACTGCTACGTCCTACCAACACATGGTGACCAAGGAGAGTCTGCGTGTCAAAGTCTGTGCAGGCTTTGCCCATCCATGAAAGTGGCGTGGCCTTTGCAGAATGCCCTGTAATCCTATCCCCACTGTATGCCGGCACCGTCGACAAGAGATCCTGCACCCAAGCGGCAAAGCGATCTGTGTCAGCTGGTACGTTGGAGAAGGCTCCATGGGCATCTGGCATATACAGTAAAGGCTCCCCTGATGCAATGCTGGTGAGGTCGCGGCCCAGCTCTTTCGCAACCGAGATGAAGTCCTTGCCCCAGCACCTTGGGCCGATGCCTTTGGCAGGCACCACGATGTGCATGCGCATGCCCTTGCTGTTGCTAGTGCTTCGGCACTTGTGCGAAAGAGACAGGGCCTCGAGGTAGCCACAACCACTATCACTATCCGCAAGAAGATCGGTTAAGAAGCAGTCAAGAACCTTCAGATCCCCTAGCCTAGCCCGGCCATATAATGCAAAGAGAAAGGCTCCAGCACAAAACCGATCCATGAGTGGGCGGCACTCGTCCGCAAGCAGAGCTTCCAAGGCAAGAACTTCAGCGACAAGCAAGGCTCTCGCCTGCTTCTTTGCAGGCCGATCCAAGCGGGCCTTCCTAAGGATCCCCTGCACAATTGGATTGCGACAAGCAGCAGGCTCCATGTCGACCCCAAGCACATGATGCAAGAACGCGAAGCACTCGACTGCACCAGTGAGCACTGAATGCTTGCAGTTTGAAGCAACGAGGTGCCTGAGGAATTCCTCAGCAATCTGCCCATCAATAGGAAAGGCCTTTATCGACTCTGAGTTGGCCCATGAAACTAGTTTGGCAGCCTGGCCAAACCTTTTCTGCAATGTGCGAGGCGCCTTGCCTCCGAGTGCCAGCCTAACCTTGGTGTGCCGCACTTCCAAAGAGGCTCCACGGAAGCTGCGCCCTAAAATCGAAGCTTCATAAGAATGAGCAAGGATCAGCTCAAACCTCTGGACGTGAAGCTCGAAAATGTCTTCATCACAAAGCCTGACTTTCCTAGCCATTGCTGGGACAGCATGCTTCAAGAAAACCACTTCCGAAGACGAACTGCGAAATCTTGCAATGCTGGATCTGGTCGCCTCCTCACTGGAAGGAAGCACAGATGCCTCTTCCATGGTGAGCCTGACATCTGAAGGCCTGGCGACAAGCGGGACTAGCCGAGTCGTCGCGTCGTCAAAAATCTGAGAGAAAACTCCTTGCTCCCAGGGCAGGACCAGAGCCGTCACTGTAGAGTTCTCCAACCCGGCATCGAAAACTGCTGCGGCCAATGCACTGTTGGACATGTTGCCGCGCAGAGTCGCAGAATCTGAAGCACAAGAATGAACCCCACAATCAAGAGACCCTTGTAGTGATGCTGAAGCTGGATTTCGAAATCTCTCAGGAGACTGGCTTGGCTTTCAAGACCCTCCTCAAGACCGTCCTCAACAGCCTCAAGTCTGCTGTTGAAGTTGAAGATTGTGCGGGCCACTTCGCCCCTCGCCTCCTCAATGTTTCCTTCAGCACGCACAAGCCTGTTGCCGAAGCTAAGAAGCAAAGAGTGCAATCCAGACAGGCGAATGAAAGCACTATCCAAGCGACCCCGAGCTTCGTGCAACCAAAGCCGATAAACTGCGAGCAGTCTTTGCACTCTGCCTACCAGAAGCAGAATAGCAAGAACAATGTCCTGCATGCACAGACTACCACGCCCCCCGCTACGACAAAAACTGAGCCTTTGCCCAGCTACGGGGTTTCCCACCTCCCTCCCTGGAGCCGTAATGTTGCACGGGCAAAGGAAGATTCCACATCGTTCCAAAGACTGGAAAACGATTAAGGGAAAACTTCGGGCTCTTGAAAGTCAAACTTTCAAAAATTCGGAATCAGGAAAATAAAACTATATCACCTTCGGTGAGATTCGTCGAAGATGTTAAGCTGGGCATCATCCATCTTTGCTTTCTTTGGGCTCCCGGGGTTTCGGTCGCCCTTGCTCTCTTCTTTTTCCTTCTCTTGCTGTTCCTTCCATCGAAGAAACTCTGCGTACTGGGCAGCATCGGGCGGCTGCTCTTGCTTGACCGGTTGCTCCATTGTCGGAGCGTCGTCCTTCTTTGCCGGTCCCTCGCCGGGGGGATGCGAGGCCATGGCTTCCGACATGGCTCTGTTGCACGAGAAATCAAGTTAGCAGGACAGAAAGCTGTGAAAAACAATCTAGAAATCGCGAAGCTCAGGAACAAATCTAGAAAAACTGCTCAAGTGGAAAAGAGTTGGCACAACTGACACTCTAAGGTGACTGCCCGGTTTTCGGGCGGGGCTTTCTGGGTGGACGGTCCACCACACCTTGTGCCAAAGCCTTGAGGAATTCCTCTTGAAGTAAATCGGTATCCGAACACTTCCTTTCTTCAACCTCAATCTTCCATCCTCATTCACTGTGCTCCAACCTAACTTCCACATCTTTCCTACCGCAAACAGAGGTTGGGTGATATTGCCACAAACAGCACTGTCCGTGATCTTCAACTTCTTTCCAGACTCCTTTGTAAAAACAAATGTCACGTTCTGCCTCACAGGCAGTGTTGGAATCACTTTCCCTTGCGCATCTTTCAGATGATACTCAAAGTTCGAAGTTTCTCCTACTTCTTCTGCCCAGTCCATAGGCAACACATGGCAGTCAGCTCCACTATCGAGCACTACCTCACATGCATCCACTTCTCTCGTTGCTCTCTTCACTTCACTCTCTTGAGAAATCATCCTCACACTTCTTTCTATCTCAGTTTCCAAGAACCACCATCCTTGGTACCACTCCATCAGACCATCTGTTGGCTCTTCCTCGCTTTCTTCTTCTTCATCGTTCGAAGAAATATCAAACTCCTCAACTCTTCGAAGTTCTCCTTGCACCAATCCTTCAAACTCCTGGCACAACCTCACAAAATCAAGCTCTTCATCCTCATCTTCTGTCATCTCTACTCTTCGCGCCTGTCGTGCCGCTTCTGCTGTAATCTGCCTCACCTGACCAGTCTCGTTCTTTGTAGGAGGGGCATTGCTAGAGGAACTCTTCTCGTGATCTCCTTGCTGTGTTCCGTCCTCTTCCACCTGTCTCACTTTGCCTTTGCCTCCTTTTCCTTTTCCCTGATTCTGCCAGCACTCAGACGCTTTGTGTCCTATCTTTCCGCATATGTGGCACTCTCCTGTGAACTTCCCTTTTCCGTAGCCACCAGCGTCCACCGCACGCGCATTTCTATAACCACCTTTTCCTTTTCCTTTGTTGTCGTATCCTTTTCCTTTTCCTTTTCCTTTGTTGTTGTACCCTTTTCCTTTTCCTTTGTTGTCGTATCCTTTTCCTTTTGCTTTTCCTTTGTTCTCGTATCCCTTTCCTTTTCCTTTGTCTTTTCCTTTTCCTTTCACTCTGTCGACATCCATTGGTTGTGGCCCATTGTAGGGTGTACTCTTTGTTGCGCTGTCCATGTTGAAGGACTGCAGGATATTCTCCGCATTCCACGATTGGGTACTTCTTTCATACTCAAGCAACTTCTTCCTGATTTCTGCATACTTCGTTGTTGGGGTCAATCCTATCAGGATACGCTTTCTCAACTCATTTGGTAAACCTTTGAGCACTGTTCCGATTTTCAAATTCTCATCGTAGGGTCTTCCTTCGGACAGCTTTTCGTATTCTGCTACCAGTTCTTCGTAGGTAAGCAGATAGTCGAGAATCGACGTCCCTTTCGTCATCGAAGGAAAGCTCACTAGAGCTTGGGCCATTGCCAGCCCTCTTGTTCGGCTTGACGGCTCCAACTCTTCAAACAGTCTTCTCCATACAGAGTATCCATCTGGACTTCCTTCTGACTTCAACAGCTTCAATGGCCTATTCCGAAGATATGAGGCCAATATGGCATACAGCTTTGTACTTCTTTCTCTCTCTCCAACTGTATACTCTGCTGGCTTTGGTGGTGCCAGCTCCACTTTCTTCAACTCTTCTGCATAGGTGGGATCAATGAAACCCACAAACACTTTGAAACTGAAACTCCAGTCGGGCCACTGTGAAACTTCTTCCTCCAAGTTCTTTGGAGCAAACACATCCGGACTCTTCACCAGCTTAGCTGCAGAGTCGTAACTCTTTGTACTTCCTGTACCTGCAGCACTAGCCAAAGCTTGCGCTGCTGCAGATAGGTTCCCAATCAAGGCCTGAAGGGATCCTCCTGCAACTCCTGCCGCTTCCGGCATCGCCATTGGCGTATCACTCGGTGTATCTCCTCCTTGACCACCGTGACCAGGGGACACAGGCAAATCCGCGTCTCCAGCTGGGCTTGGTGTGGCCATTCACCGTCTTTTGCTTTTCCTTCTTGTGTGACACTGGGGCCCAAGGCTCTTTTCTCCTTATATTGGGCTCCTCTTTAGCCGAAGGTCCTGGCCTTCAGCTCCGCTACCATAAAACGCTTTACGGGTACGTTCCAAACCCTTTCACTTTGCACTGGTATTCGCTCTTTACTTTTCCTCGGGCGCACGGCTGTCTTGGGTGCGTCCCTTGAGCCTAAACACCACAGTGGAACCATTGTTCCATGCTATACAAAATCATGTGGCAAACAGCTCAACTACAGGATTATAGGGCAACACACTCCTGAGCGAAATGTTTGTTATGTTCGCTAGGCTGCACAAGACGCTGCTGAGTGCCCAACCGCGCTTCAGCCTTGCCTCTCTCCGAAACCTGCAAGTGAAGCCTGGATGCTTCCCAAGCCGCCAACAAGCGTGCAACTACGAGCCGCTCTGCGACCCCCGCTGTAGGATCGATGGGCAGCTCCGCAATCAGGGCTGCTCTCACCCGCTCCCGAGACTCATCGAGCCCCCGAGAACAAGGCCACGTTGCGGATTCCCAACTCTCCCAGCCTAGCCTGCCACACAGCCGGAACATCCGCCTGCTCCAACTGGAACCTGAGATCCGGCCCCAGCGTCTCCAAGTGCCCTCTCTGCGCAGCTGTCAGAGCAGCCGGCGCCGCCATGTGATGCAATGATGCAAGACAATACTCAAGTCAGCAACGCACCCTAGTTGAGCCGTCACCGGCGAAACCTTTGTGCTGATTGCCGATCTCACCATGCTGATGCGATCACTCGAGCACGCACCGAAGTTTACCAGGCCGCAAGACAGTACTCAATTCAGCAACGCACCCGGGTTGAGCCGTCACCAGCGAAACCATTGTGCTGATTCCCGATCTCACCATGCTGGTGCGATCACTCGCGCACGCACCGAAGTTTGCCAGGCCTGACACCCTTCCATCGCGTCGCAGTACACTGTGAAACTCGTGCAGCTCAGCAGGCGGCTCCGAAGCAGGCTCCGGCTCCATGCGGCCCTCAAGACGCGTGACGAAGAAATCGCCCGTTCCTTTCCCAGCTCGAGATCACCATCCTTTGGCGTACACTTGCAGTTGGAGACATGACCCTTGGCGTACACTTGCAAGCAGCAGCAACACTCTCAATATGAAGCACAATCGACCCTAGGCATGCACACATTTTGCAGTCCGAGCAATCATCACTCACTCGAGCTCTCTCCTGAGGTCTGTGCCTCATCGGATGTGCTGGAGGAGAAGTCCTCCGATCCTGAAGCGCCCGCCTGTGCTGCCTGCTGTCCCTGCTCAGGCTTGAAGCAGTGCTTGCATTGCCAGTCGTAAGAAACGCCCTCCAGCGACTCAAACAACTCACAGTTTGCCACAGACTCAGGCGTGCTGCCGCATCCACCTACACGATGAAGCCGCCGCAGCTTCTTCTTTCCCAAAACTGACACAAAGAACTTGCATGTATCCTTGACCTCAGGAGTCCTGGCAGGCATCTCAATATCCCCAGGCTTGACAAGGTCCGCGCTGCTTTCAGAGAGATGATGAGCCCGAAACTCGGCCCAGCCCTCCAACGGCCGCAAGAGTTCAAGAGCCTTGTCACGCACCGAGCTCTCGACACCGGCCCTCTGTAGCGCCTGAAACGAATCATCGAGACCTACCTCCAGAAAGGCGGGGTTGCTGCAAAGACTCCGAACAACATGTTGCTGCAAAGAAGTGACAATGAACCAAGCACTCCGAATGTACTCATCTGAGGCTTCCACGACATGCCAACGTCCCAGATAGGAACGACGCTCGCGATCGATACCAGACCATGAAGCAAGTGTGGCAATGAAGTTTCTCTCGGAATGCTCGGTAAAAGCAGCAACAACACTCGGATCCTCAAAAAGCGCAACGTCAGTGTGATGTACACCCCCTGCCTCGGTCAGCTCCGGCCGCTTCAGCTCCCACAGGAGCTGCTTGGACATCGTTGACATATCCACATAGCTCGCCATCACTGGCAGGCAAGAAGTCAGTCCCTTTGTTGGCCGAGGCACCAGATAATCCCTGGAGAAGGCAAATCCATCAGAAGTCCAGATCTCATATCCGGCAGCTAGCCAATCACTATGCAAAAGCCAAGCACCCTTACAAACAAAGAACGGCAGCCATCTGATGCGTTTCCCAGCTCCCGAAAACTTCGTTCGATCAAAGACTCCTCGTAGTCCTTGCGAAGACATCGTCATCTGCTCCGGCAAAATGCCCTGCAAATCATTGGCCCTGCTAGATGTCCATAGTTTCAATAATCGCGCCCACGCATATGCCCTGACGAACTTCTTATGCGCAGTGTTCACTACCACGGCCTCTAGCGCCATGACCATGATGAGAGCCAGCGCTGGAGCTTGCTTGGTAGGTGGCGCCCCTGCTTCAAGCTCAGCCGTGCGGACCCGAACCAAGTTCCGCACCAGAACATGAGAAGATATGGAGGCCTCGACCTTGACTCCTCCGACCCTTTCGAAGAAGATCACTGCAGAGAGCACAGACTGCAACCTAGTCCTGGCACATGGTTCTTGTGCCAGCTCCTCCACATAATTCATCAAAAGGCCCAGATGCGAGGGAAACGTCGTTCCCTCCACAGCAAAAACCCATGCAGAAAACTTGCACCATTCTCTCACATGCCTCCTCAAGGTGGATGCTCTAAGTGTTCCTGCAGACGCCTCAAGAACAGCCTGGCTATCAAGAGCATAGCCCGCCATCGCACAGACCGGCATGGATGCTCTCTTGAGCTCCTTCGCTAAAGCACGCCTCCAGCGTCGGAGCTCGACAGCCTCAGCATCGGCCCTAGCGCGATCGTGCTCGGCCAGGGCAAGTTTCTTGGCCAACCTGCACGGCCAAGATGTAAGAGATCTCTTCGCTCCTGCCCTTGTCTGAAGCCAGCCGGTACTTACTTCGAGCTGCTGCTGAGGACCAGCCGAAATCGATGCAGTCGTTTGCGCCAGCTGACCCTGCACAGCCCTGGTCCTCGCGGCACGATCCGCAGCCTGTGATGCATCAGCACAGACCTTTTCAAGAATCTCGCATGCACTGAACCACTCAGCTGAACCCATCGTAAGTCCCGCGATTCCACAAAATCTTTGATGTCTGAATCATCCGAAAACAAGTTCGACAAAATCTCGGGAGAGGGCTGTCGCGACTCCTGATCAAGAGCCTTCTTGACACACTCAGGTAAATCCTGCCACGACAGATTGGGTTCAGCCTCTTGCAGAAGCTCCTCGTCACCCATCGCGCATGACGATCACTCCGACCCATACACAAATGAGTCCCCCCCTCCCCTTTTGGACTCCGCAGAGCCGAGCCCAAAGGTTCGGACGAATAAAGATTGTCAACTGTTCCTCCAGCAAGAGGGAACAATCACCGCACATGAAAGATTCATGTAAAACAAAACACCGTGTGACATGAAAATCAATCCATAAAAGAGTCGAAACCCGACTCAACAATTGGAAAGCATTTTCGATATTGGCACATGAAATGTGAGCAAGTTATGTTTCTTAATCTCATTCTGATGGACAAGTCCACCTCACATCTGCAGATCAGTCCTTGTCCTCGCAGTAGAGCGGCACGAGCACCATGGTCTCGACCTGGGCAAGCACAGGGGGCAAGGGGCTTCAAACCTACCCCGGGAGGCGGCGAACCTCCCGAAAACAAAAAACACTGCTTGGAACTCTCCAAGCTATGGCAGGCAGCCTCACAACCGAACTGAGGGCCCGGCAGGCAACAGGAATCTATACTCCTATAGACCCTTAAACCCTCAAAGCGCCAAAATATCTAGATTTGTGTATTTATGTATTTATAGAATTAATATATAGAAAACACCTCGCAAGCCATGTTAACCTAGAGACGTGGACATGCATGCTTTGAGCCAGCTACAGATATACAAGGACACAGAGTCTTCAAGTTGCATGCTGCACATGCCAAATCTAAAAATGTTGCAAAAGCATGGATCCAAAATGCAGGCATTCACAAGATTTCTGCTCCAAAGCGAAATCGTCATCGATCGTCGAGTCTCGATTGCAGCTCGCACCCAGCTATGGCTGCATGCTGCTCAGTTGCTCTTCTGCCCAGCTCCTGACCTGGGCCAAAGGCTCTCCAGCTCGAGCTTTTCGTAGGGCTTCCTCTCCTGTTGCATGCAATTGCTCCTTCGTGGTGGCGGAGCCGCCTTTCAGCTGGAACATCTGCCTCTTGCACTCTTTGTTCTTTTCGTTTCGCCAAATCATGCGAAAGGCCATGGTGTTGTTTGCTGCACGATACTCCTTCCGAAGAACCGCATTTGCAGGGAGAACCGCCACATCCCCATAGTTCGGATCCTGATCATCATCTGCAGCTGGAGCATCGACTGGAACCAGAGCGGCTTCGGCAGGGGCTTCGAGATCTTGGCCTGCTGCAGCATCATCTGCACCTGCAGCTGGAGATTCTCCATCTTCCTGCGGAAGGCAGGCTGGCTTCTTGATGACTGCAGCTGGCTTCTTTTTGCTAGCTGCTTTTGCTTTTCCTTTAGGAGATGCTTTGGCTGCAGCTGCTTTGTCCAGCAGAAGGTTCGGGATCTCGCTCACGATCTGATGCCCATCGGACCACACTGCCACAGCAAAACCAGAAGGCCCCTTGTGCATCTTGGCAGCCTCTCGGCTGTCACCTGCAATTCGCAGCACCGTTGGTACTGACAAATCTGTGTGGAAAAAGCTGGCGGCCGATGCAGCCTGCTGGTATAGCTTGCTGATTTGGCCTGTAGGCAGAGGCCTTGGCCCATCTCTCGTATGGCTTGATGCAGGTTCTGCAGCTTGTGCCGGCTCCTTCTTAACTGTTGCACCTGCATCCGAAGAGGACACAGAGACGTGAACCTCAAGTTTCCTTGTCGATGCCTTTTGGCATGTC